CAGGCCCAAAAACTGAGTCGCTAACTGAGGACTCGAAGTGCTTCACCAGCTCTGTTGCTACTGCTGCTGCTCCTGCTGCTGCTGCTCCTGCTGCGACTTTTGCATATTTATTCAATATTAAAATAGGCAACAGTAAAATTGTAAATAAGTTTCGACTCGGCCTGCCAGCTGCTGCAATAATTGCGAACAGTGCAACAGTGGGGCGGCCTGCCTCAAACTTTAATGAGGGAGGCCGCATCAAGCGGAAGTGGCAGGACAATGCGACAATGGCCCAAACGACAGCGACGCATAAATCCTTGAAGTGTTCACTTGGCTTCGTCCCTCTTCCTCTTCCTCTTCCAGTTCCAGTTTCACTTCTTGTTCTGCTGCGCCTCCTTCTCCGGCTTCTCTCTGTCTTCTTCCCCCGCTTCTTGTGCTCGCTGCAACTGCCTCAAGTGCATTTGCTAATGACAAAGTCAAACTGGCGCGCTACAACGACTTTGGCAAACTTCAGCAGCCACCGCACAGTGGCGCAAGTGCTGAGAATACCGAGTTGTAAATAATAATGGGCAGATGAATAAAATTATAAATTATAACTGAATATTCAATGTTTAATTACCAATTAGTCAGGCACTTTAGAAATCTTCTTCATATGTATCAGCAGTAAAAATCAATTTTTAATTTTTCAATTATTAAAATTAAGTAAAATTATCAAATAGGTAAATACAAAGTTATAAAAAAAAAATGAAATAAAAACATTTATTGTTGCAAGTATCAAATTTCATCTATTACTAATACAACTAAATTAAATTAAATACAATTAAATTAAAAAAATAATTCGATTTTAAAAAACTGTTTCTATATTAAATATCAAGTATATATTAACTATAATTTGATATGCATACAAATTAAACCTATTTTATTTACAATCCCCTGAAGAGATTTTCAACATACAAACTATATAGTATATACACTAGTATTTTCTTTTTATCATTTAATTTTTATTGTTCATATTTATCAGATTTTTTATAACTTAGAATCATATCAAACATTTCGATTTTTACTATACCATAAATTCCTGCTAAAATGTATGGAAAGCAAACAGTCTCCCTCTACCTGAGTCACTCTCTGGAAATTAGTAATCCTTTTTGCTTGCTGCGTTCCACTGTGCAATATGTTGCGTTTATTGTAGCATGCTTTTCAGCGCGACAGACAAGGCGCCTTTTCCGCTACCGTTACCGTTACTCGTCTGTCCGTCTGCCTGCCTGCCTGCCTGCCTGCCTGGTGCTGCTACTTGTTTGTCACGGCATCGGGGTGTGCGTGTGCTTGTGTATTTATGTGTGCGTGCAATTTACGCGTCCAGCGTCAAGTGGCAGCCGTGGCATGCCACAAGCTGCAGGCGCCCGGCGCATTGCCATTGTGACCAGTTGCCAGTTGGCTGAGGCAATAGGCGCATAGTCATGCAACTTTACTCTGTGTGCGAGTGTGCGAGTGTTTGTGTGTCTTGTTTGACGGCAAGTGTTGAAAACATGTTAATTCCTAACATTAACAACAACAACAACAGCAACAACAACAACAACAATAGCAGTAGCAATTGAAATAAACAAGAGCAGCAGCAACAATAACGACAACAAGCCAACCAGGCGTCAGCTCGGCTGCTCCAGTTGCGACAGGCGACAACGGCATTTGCCTCTGCCCAAAACGGAAGTCGTGCGTTTACCCAGCCCCCGGCACACCCCCTCTGATGAGGTCCCTTCTTAAGTAGGCGCTTCATAAAAAAAGAGAGAACGAATTTGTAGCCGCCAAAAGCTGTGCACGGAAGTATTTGTCATGATATTTATCGCATAAGCCATTTCTCTTGAGTAGGCGACGGCCTCAGCAAACGGAAAATTGTGAAAATTTAATTGAAAACGTTGCCGGGCAAGCACGCCCGCCGGCTGCCAGCGGGTGGGCGTGGCGACGTATTGCGGCACAGCAGCAGCTCATCAAATATTAAAGGCTTTCGCCTTTTTTTCTTCTGTTTGGCATTGGATCAGCTGCGGCCAATGCCGAGGCAAGCTTAAAAATATTTTGTATAAATAAACAATATGAAAAATAAATAAAATATTTTAAATAATTTAAAATATCCCATCGATTTTGCATATATATTTACAAGTTTTACTTTTGCTATAGTCTCATGTGCATTAACCGTATACGAGGAATCATGGGTTGGCAAAATAAATTGAACTCTGATTTTAAAATTGCAAAATTGCATTTTTATAAATTAAAAAAAAAATGTCTATTTTGCTTTTACAAAATGAAACTTCAGTAAACAAAATCAGCAATTAATCAATTTGTCGCTCTTCAAAAGTAAATTATAAAACTAAACTGACAGTCAAAACCAACTATTTACATATATGTATCTATTTTTATCGATTATAATATTTTATAATTTATATTTTAATAAGTTTATTTTTTTTGGTAAGTTTTTTATTTATATTATGCACAAAATTTAAAATGAAATAAAGCAAAATTTGTTAAAATTAAATTAAGTATATTTTTAATTAACTTTTCAGAGTGGAATGCCACTGTTATTTATTGCTAGGCTTTTGCTTTTTTGCTGTGCTTCGCTGAGCTTCACTTGGTTCTTTTCTGGCGGGGAAGCTTTCTCCTCTTCATTTGTTTCTTTTTTTAGTGGCGTATTTTATTTTCCATACTTTTTTTTATACTTTTCACATGGCTTTGTAAATTTTTTATCGGCCAACAAACGATGCCTGCATTTAATTTAAAAATCACAGTTGAAACGCTATATCAAATTAAATATTCCAATTTATGCCTAAAGAAAACAAAAATAAGCCAAGAAAAAAAATCGATATAAAATTATATCAACTTTAATGCACGTAAATTTTTAATTAAAAAAAAAAATAATAAAATGAAGAGGGATGGAAGGATAAAATATAACAGAGCCACACAATATCTCAAGCAGATAATCCTTTTTAATGGAACGAAAGACAAAAAAAAGAAGCAAATAACGAGGGAACAGTGCATGAAAAAAACTGACGACGGCCGCAAATTAATTTGTTTATTTAGGCGAAATTTTTTGTAGCAGAGGCGCTGCGAAGCTTTTGCTGACACTTTAAAAAAAACTTTGGCCAGACTTTAAAATAAACAAGTAAGAAGGCTCCAGTCGAGACTGCTCGACTGGGAGATACCCTGAACCCTCCAAGCTGATATTCTAATCATTCTGCACTTCTTCTATGCACACATACATACACATGCACTTATAAGCACGCGCTCTGCTAACTGCGCAGTAAGCAGCGGCTGCGCTTGGGCTGCACTGTAGTGTGGGCAATATTATGAGAATTTATTAGTTGAATAATTTCTCTTGTAGTAAGAGTATCTTTATGAAACTTTCAGAATGTGTTCATATAGTTGAAATGTGTGTACATTCCAAAGCACAAGTCTCTAGTACTTGAAATGCGTTTTTTACAAATTGGGGGCGAAGGGGGCGTGGTATCCAAAATCTGTAAATTACAAAATCTTTGTGTCTATTAACTCTATATACAACGCAAATTTGAAGTCTCCTGGCTGAAAAGTGTTCAAATTAGGCTGAAAAAACAATGTCGATTTTTCGATTATTCTCGATAAAAAAGTTATCGGATGAGTTATCGAAAAAAATAAAGCAAACTCGTACTGCCTATGGTATACACGAGTATGCATGCCAAATTTCAGCTCTCTAGCTCTTATAACTTCTGAGATCCTTTTGCTCATACGGACGGACGGACGGACGGACGGACGGAGGGACGGACGGACGGACGGACGGACAGACGGACAGGGCTATATCGACTCAGCTCGTCGTCCTGATCAAGAATATATATACTTTATGGGGTCTGCGATGATTCCTTCTGCCTGTTACATACTTTTCACAAAACCATTATACCCTGATTTCCCATTTTCAATGGGTTCAGGGTATAAAAATATGAACCGAACTTGGGCATTAAATGCTCCCGACCCGTATAATAACATTTACAAGCACTTAGTTTACACATAACCTCAGCAAAAGCAGTGCCCGTGGAAGGGGTGAGCGACGGGGAAGGCAGTGGGGCAGAACAGAAAATTTGCATGCAAAATATGCGCGAGTTGTCGAGCAGTTGCTGCAGAGAAGGGCGAAAAAATACACATATTACGGGCAATGACAGCTAAACTCAGAAGGACGAAACTCAAATACACTTTCTGGCAATGTGAAAAGGTGAGCGAACGCCCAAGATTTTAACAGCCCCTATTAACTCTACTTAGAAACTCTTTTGCATCTAAGTTTCTGTGCTGCATATTTCTAATATGGAAATGCAAGTTAAATTGATTGATTAGTAAAGGTTGAGCCTAACAAAAAATTGTTAAGGCTCAAAAATTATTTATAAGAGAAACAATAAAACTTCAAGTAATTCAAACTGTCTGTTTAAGCTCATGTTAAACTTACAATGAATATAAGCAAACTGAGCTGGAACCTATTATCAAAATCTGTAAGTTTACTGTAAGTTTTAATAAAATATTTTAGAGATTTTATTATTATTACATTATACCATATTTTATATTATAATTGCAATCGTAAGGGTATTCTGGAAGAAAAAAAAAAAAATAAAAATCTGCTGAAATTGCAAATGACAAGTTTTGCACTAAGCAGCAGTACAAATAGACGAGCAGCGAGGCTTGTCAAGCGAAGGCGGCCAGTGGGCGTGGCGGTTGGCTTTGTCGTGTGCAAGTGTGTCTGTGTGCTGGTGTGTGTATCTGTGTCTGTGTGAGGGAGAGTGCAGCATGACAGCTACATTGACACACTTACTGCCCAAAAATAGCGCTGCAAACTTCAAGCGAAGTTAATAAATGGATTACTTGGATGTTGAGGCGCCCGAAACTCTGTGCCTCCGCACACCCAAATCAATGTCAACGTCTGCTGTTTTTTCCTGCTGTTGCTATTCCCCAAGGCTGGGCGGGGCCTGCCACACGTGCCTGGAGTTGATAAAGTTGCCGCGTTAACAGCCGTAAAACTTGCCACACGCAAAGGGTTTAGACGCACCAATGAGACTCCTTGCCGCTTAACGGCACATTTTTTTGCCTGCTTTCAATAAATAACAAAATGACAGCAGCAATCGGGGAAACCAAAAGGGAAACTTGACTCAAAAATTTAAAGGAAGCTTTTTAAATCAGGTCAAGCGCTGGAAAGAAATCGTAAACTTGTTCAATTATTCTATTGTATTGCTATTGCGAGGCTAGTCTGTCAGAGACTCAAACAAAATATCTCTGTAAATATTCAGCTCTTTTTTCCCTTCTCAGAAATTGCAAACTGTTAAGTTCATCGTTGCCCTTCCTGCAGCGGTATTAAAAATCACAGAATTCGCGCGCTGACATGGAAATGCTTGTCATTAATTTGCCAACGAATGCAAAGGAAAAGAAGTTTGACGTAAGAGAGGTAAGTTTGCAGGTACTCTGTACTCTATGGTAAATAAAAGACAGAAATGACAATTACAATGACAATGACAATGACAATGACAATGACAATGACAATGACAATGACAATGACAATGACAATGACAATGACAATGACAATGACAATGACAATGACAATGACAATGAAAATGACAATGACAATGACAATGACAATGACAATGACAATGACAATGACAATGACAATGACAATGACAATGACAATGACAATGACAATGACAATGACAATGACAATGACAATGACAATGACAATGACAATGACAATGACAATGACAATGACAATGACAATGACAATGACAATGACAATGACAATGACAATGACAATGACAATGACAATGACAATGACAATGACAATGACAATGACAATGACAATGACAATGACAATGACAATGACAATGACAATGACAATGACAATGACAATGACAATGACAATGACAATGACAATGACAATGACAATGACAATGACAATGACAATGACAATGACAATGACAATGACAATGACAATGACAATGACAATGACAATGACAATGACAATGACAATGACAATGACAATTCATTGCCCAATATACCCTTTCAAGTCCTCATAGAGATCTCACACTCACTGACAGGCACACACATCTTCGATTACGTTGGCTGTGAGGAATGTCGGATGTTGTTGCCAGTTGCAGAAGTCGCTGTCTGCGTTGCTGCTGTTGCATGCACTTTTAACGAGCGCCATTCTTAAACAGTCTGCCATTTTGACATGAGTCTCTAATGCTGTTTGAAATATTGCACATACGCAGCGTTGTCTGGCAGCCAGAGCGCATAGCATAGCTAGCAGTGTTACTCACACTCAGTGTGGTACTCACAGTGGTGCCCACACTCTATTTCATCCAGTCTACAGTTGGTGTTGCCGGCGCGTGGCTTCGATTTCGCCAACATTTACTTTCAATCAAGTTGAAGCTGTTCCCAGCGCTGCTTAGCTGCAGCCCAAATCTCAATAGAGAAACAAAGAGCTCAAGTGCAAATGAAATGAGATGCGATCCGATGAGATGCGATGCGAAGCAATGTTATGCGATGGGAGCAGCAGCTGCAACAGCCATTTTGTAGCTGTTGCTCTTGTCAAACTGTCGTAAAACTTTCGTCTTTGCAATTTCATTTACGCTATTCGCTCTTTGAAATATGATTTTTGTTTTGTTTTGTTTTGTTGCCAAATGGCAGCTCACAGCCATGTGTTGTCCTTGGGCAGAGTCATGTGTATGGAACATGTTCCAAAATTAAGTTGCATTTAAATTTCTTTTAAGTTCGTAGCTATCTTGGAAAATTTAGGTTTCAACTCGTTATTAGCTTAATATTTTTGTCAATTAAAAAGAGTGTACATATGTATATCTATATATATGAGAAAAGAAATATTACAAAATATAAAAAAAAAAACAAAATAATAATAATAATAATAAAAATAATAATAATATTATTTATATACATTATTAATAAATATGCATTATAATAAATACTAATAAAATATTTTAAAAAAAAATTATATATATATAAAAAAAAAAAATAAATAGGGCATTACTGAAAAAATGTAAAGAATATATAAAAAAATGAATTATAAAGAATATACAAATTATTCAAATAAAATAATCTAACTTCAAAATATTTACTGTTTTATAAGTAAATTCAACTATAAATAAAACTGAAGTTATTAAATTTGTTTTAGAATTATTTTTTTTTTATAAATATATTTCAACAAATCTTTCCTCTTGTTGAATTTCTTGGGAAGAACACACAAAGTCTTGCCAGTTGGCAAAGGTTAGCTGCTGAGAGCTGATGCTACCTGGCCAAAGAGTTCTCCTAGTCAAGTCGAGTAAGCTGCATATTTGCACATTGCCATGGAGCATATTTTCGTGAGTGCATTTTGACATATTCATACGCTTCGTTGAGTACGCAAAGTTAATGGAAATGCACACAGCCCAAAGAACGATGTTTATTCATATCTCATATTGCATGATTGTACCTATGTGTGTGTGTGTCTGCGTCTGTGTGTTTAGCCAGCTAAACAAGCTTGAAATACGCGTGCATTGTGCTGTGCAGAGAGTTGAAAACAATGGGCCACGTTTGCTTAGTGTTAACTTGGCCAACTTTGGCAGATGCCTTTTTGCCATTTTGCTTTCTACCTTTTACAAGCAACCTGCTGCCTGCTGCCTGCTGCTTTCCACCTGCCACCTGCCATCTGCCGCCTGCTGTGCATTGTTCCTGGACTATTGGCCATAGTCTGTCTAATTGCCAGACTTCCATTGATCAAATCGATTTTTCTACCCCGATTTTTTGTTCGCTTTCATAAAAATTCTGCATTTGGCAAATATTTATGGCCAGCGGGCAGATTTTTCAATTCTATTCTGAAAGCTATTTGCTGTTGCTTAGAAATATGCAGAATTGTAGTCAGCCGGAAATGTGTTCAAATCATGGCAAATCATGGCAAATCGAAGCTAGCTTAAAGCACAGTACAAAATATTTGGGTTAAAAGATTATTAGCATGTGAAAAACTTTATTTTGCTTGAAATTTTTTGTCAGTTCATATCTAATTTCTAAGCAAAAAATATTAATAAAATGTTTTTTATATATTAAAAATGTATAAAATGTAGAGTTTGTAATATTGTTTTAAGGATTACTGAAACCAAATAGCCGAAAGTAATTTAAATTGAAGTCAGTATCAGCAGCTGACTAAAACGAATTTCTCCTCCACCTACTCGGAGTCGAAAGCAAACTGAAAACATCTCTTTGGCTTCTCTGAGCTGTATCTCTTGTAAATCTTAAATAAATTACGAATTATGTGCCGCACAATTGCAGCCCAGGAGAACGCTTGTAGATGCGAAACTTCCTGGGAAGGACATTCACGTATTCCCACGGCGCGCTCAATTTATATGCTGCACCTGCGGGGCAATAATCACACTTTGTTATTTCATTAACGCTTTCATTTCACTGAACGCGCCTGTCACTCCCAATTAAAAAGCAAGTGCGAGTGGGAGGGGTAGTGGGCGTGTGAGTGTGAGAGCGAGTGGGAAACAGCGAATTCCGGAAATCCAACTGTGTATTGTGAAATGCCTGCAAGGCTGCCAGTTTGCGTTTCCCATTTTGCCACGCCCCTTTTCGCACATTAATTTCGCCTTATGAAATCTTTTGCACATTAAATCGTCTGACGCGTAACCCTTTGACTGCCAACGCCCTTGTGGGCCACGCCCCCGCGCACAGAAAGAGAGCTCAAGGCGCGACCGACCAAAAGTTACGCATTAAAAACCTTTTCTCTCATCTTTTTCCATTTATTTTTTTATGTGTTATTCCTGAAAAGTCGTAAAACTGAGTTTTATGAATGCGATTAAGCGCGTGAACTGCACGAAAGCATATTTCACTTGCTTCTCGCTTCGCATCAACCCTCTCTCTCTCTCACTCTCTCTCGCTCGCTCCCACTGCTTGTTGCTGTCTCTGTCTCGTCCTACTTTGCTGTTGCGCCCGGAATTTGTCATTTTTAATGACTGTGAAAAGAATGCGCTCGTAATTACATGGCTAGCGCAGGAAAAAAAAACCTAAATAAATATATATATACGTACATAGACATATACATACTCTCAACTGTGTGGCTGGCATTTTATTGTGCTGTGTATCATAAATTATTTAACTTATTTAATACCCTAACACTGAACATGCACAATAGATAAAGGACAACGTCAAACGTTGTCACATTGACTTTGGTATCAATGATATTGAAATAATTTTTTTTAATAAAGACAAATAAATATTAAATATGGAAAGCTTGCGAACTGAAATACAGTGCTTATCATAATTATAGCCCACTTTTAATCCACTTAAACGAATCGGCAGAAAATTTTTCCCAAATGGAATATTTCCTCAAAATCTACAAAAATGAGTAGTTCAATATTTCAATTATGAATGGCAAAAAACTTTTTCACTTAAAATTCACGATTTAATAACGATTTCTTAAAAAGAAGTAAAAAACAAGGAAAAACAGCACCATTTTCTGTATCAAAATTATAGCCCATATTCATATTTTTGTAAAAAAAATCCGAATTCGTTGCGGATTAATGGAAAAACTAATGTTAATACTTAGTCCGGCCTCCATTTGTCTTAGTTAACTCAAAAATTCTCTTCCTCATTGAAACCACTAAATTTAATAAAAGGTCCTTTTCGAAACTTTGTTATTTAGTCATTGTCGTTTAGAATTTGCATTTTAAGATATCCAACTGTCTCCAACTGGCGATTTTTGGCATACACACGTCTTGCAAGATTACCCCAGACATTTTTATCGGGTTGAGATCCCCAAAACATGCTGGCCAGTCAAGGACATCAACATGACATTCCTCCAAACACTCTTTTGTACGTCTGCTCACATGGATTCTGGCATTATCCTGTTGGAAAACCATTGGTTTCTCACGTAATTCCCTTAAATATGGATTAAGACTACTATCCAGAGCCTGAATATACTCTTCACTGTTCATTCCGTTCGTTACAAACTTCAATTCCCAGGTACCAAATGAAAAAAATTGACCCCAAATCATGACGGAGCCACCTCCAAAGTTTGGCCTTGAAAAAAACATAGGATCCTTCCTCAAATCATGCTAATAAGTATCAAACCCATCAGGACCATCCAGGTTAAACTTCTTCCCATCAGAAAATATGACCTGTTAGGGTAAAAATTTATAAATATACTGCAAGCCAAAAGACGATGTTTCAAACGCGTGTATGTCAGATCGGTCGCAGTATGTCCTTCGGCAAAACCAAGTCCTGCAACCTTGTGGCGACTTAGCAACATGGATGCTTTGGTCAGTTTAGACCTATTTATGATTCCTGAGCTCTTAAGTACTCGCCAAACAGTCATCGCTGACATAGATTCGGCCACATGTGCGGCCAAAGCTATACAAGCGGTTGGGTTGTTGCTGGTTTTCTTAATAATTTTGCGTTTATCGTGCGCAATTAGTAACGGTTTTCACCCAGTACGTCTTCTTGATCTTTATTCTTCGGGGTTATTAAAAAAAATTTTAATTACACTTTGACTTTTTTTCAAAATTCGTAAAATACTCGAAATAGACTCTCCTGACTCGAAAAGTGAGAAAATACGGCCCTTTTCATAATAAGATAATTGTTTTCCAAGCGGCATCTCTTAAAAACCATCTAAATTTACTTAATTACAATGTCTGTAAAGCCAAAAGTCTGTTCCGCACTTAATAAATTCAAATTTGCGACAGTGGGCTATAATTATGATACACAAAAATGCAAGCAAAAATGCTAGCACAGAGCAAAAGTTAACGGTTCTTTCTTAGTTTTCCATAAATTGAACTAAAATTTTGATAAAATCTACTGAACATGCTCCAGTCTATAATGTGCTGTAAAATTTATTTTTAAAAAACCTTAAAAATTTTGTTACAACGGGCTCAAAGTTTAAGTTGCAGGGTGGGCTATAATTATGATAAGCACTGTATATTTTATGTTTAATAATTGGCATGCAAAATTTCAAAAATGATTAAGGTAAAAGCTAATCTTTTTTTTTTAATTTGAAATTAAATGAAATGAAATATCATAAAAGCAGTGAACAAAATGATTTTATTTGTATTTTATTTTTTATTTATTTTTTTTTTTTTTAATAGAATAAAGGCAGTTTGAGGGTTTACCAAAAATATTTTTTTATTACAAGGAAAATTTAAGTGTAATTACTCTTTTTAATAAAATAATAAAATGAAGTAAATAAATGGTACGATATATAAAAAAAAGTTTGCTTTATATATATTATACAAATACTTGTTTTCATTTTTTTTTTTTTTTTTTTTTTTTTTTTTTTAATTTAATATTTAGCTCAGCAAAAATCTATTTAGGTTTACAATTTTTCACACGCCATTTATTATTTTAAATAATAATAAGTAAATAGAAAATAAAAGTTTTGTATCAACTTAAGATCTACAGCGTATTAATGTATCTATTATTATATATACTAAATTATTTTCAAAATTGAATGTATTTCTAAATCTAATTCCCCCTCAGCACATAGTAAGGGCATTAATATTTCGCTTTAGCTGCAGCGAAAAAAAAAAAAAAAATGTTTTCATTGAGCACTTTGCCTGAATTGCAGTTATAACTAAGTAGCATGAAACCAGCCAGTGTGGTGCAATGCTCACACACAGACACAGACACAGACACAGAGATAGCCACACTCCCGTTAGCAGTGCGCTGCCAGCACCCACCATCTGTCTGTCTGTCCGTCTGCCTGCCTGCCTGTCTGCCGTCCATTACAAACCCTTGGCGCAATTTGCTATTGTTCTCTGGCAGTGGCACAGCCACTACTTAAATCCGTTTCCTCAGCTGCTTGTCTTTCATTTCAGCTTTGCCTTTCAGCGCGACGTCCTCGTCATACTTGTAGGTGGTAATGTCTGTCCGTTCTGTTCCGTTCCGTTCCGTTCCATTCCGCTCGTCCACTGCATCTCCACTGCCATCAATTCGTCTTGCTGTCTGTCGCTCGCTCGCTCGCTCGCTGGCTTCGCTTTCTTTCTATTTGGCGAGGCATTCGCACTTAAGTGATTTTGACACTTGTCCTACTTTCCATGCGTTGATTTTTGTGTCAGCAGTACTCAAGCTGCCTCGCCTCCCCGCCCCCGCCAGTAACCGTCAACCTCTCTTGACTGTAGGCTGCGTAAGTCATTGCCGTTGTCGTTCTCGATGTTGTTGTTGTTGTTGTAGTTTGCTCGCTGAAGTTGTTCACCTTTCAATACCCGAGCAGCCACTACAGCAACTTCCTTTCCGTTTTTTTCTCATTTTCGTGGCAGGACTTGCATCTAAAGTGGCAGCAACTTCAGCCGCTGAGACTCTGTGTTTTTGAATGCTCTGTATGGTGAGTGTTTTAGGTAGGGTATATAGGTTCCTCTTCATTGGGACGGTGAAGTAATCAACTATCTCAACTCCAGTCAAGATTTAACTACCATTTCCTCCAAGTGTAATTCTCTCCAGGCTAGGGTATTGAATAGTCAGGCATACTTCCACAACAAAATTCTAAAAAAAAATGCATGAACTTTTCAATGCGTTTGCCCTTTTCTATTTGCATTCGTTGTTGTTGTTGTTGTAGCTTCAGTTGCCATCATTCTGTTCATAAAACACGACGTCATCAGCGTCTTTGGCTTGGCAGCCAACAACAGCAACAACAACAACAACAGCAACTACTACTACTACTGAAGTGCACATTTGAGGATTTGGCTTGTGATTTATGTGTGCGTTAGGGTCTCTCTCTCTCTCTCTCTCCCCCCCTCTCTCTCTCTATCCATCTCTACCTCTATGTGTGTATGTCTGTCTCATTGTCTGTCTGTCCGTCTGTCTGTGACAACAGTTGCTCAGGCTTGTCAGCCAGTGTCTGCCTAACTGTTTGTCTTGGCCATATTGTTGTTTTGCCTTACCGAGCAGACCTTTGGGTCTCAGCTGCTGGCAGCGCTTGCTCACAATATAAACGCATTAAAAACGATTTGCTTTTTATGGCTATACCATGCAACTGGTTGTTAGTTTGTTGCAGTTGCTGCTCTCAAAAATGCAGCAGAAGAAGAAAAAGCAGAAATCAAGCAGCAAATGCAATCCAAGATTTTCAGCTTGGGAACCATAGCAATGTTGCCTTGAGGTTAACGTCGAACTTTGTCCACTTGACTCTTGGCTGCTTTAAGTGCAGCAGGTTTGTAAAATTCCTAATAAAATATGGGCGTCCTCCATGCTAACGCAGTTTTTCTAAAAAATACTAATATTATTTTCTTAACTTTAATATATTTACAGAAAACAAAATAAAATATATAAATAAGGAGAATATTTATGGTAAATAATTTAAAAAAATTCTGTAAACTATTTATTACAAATATTCGCACAATATAATATTATACTAAAAAAATTTAGAGCTTTAGAAGATTTTATTTTTTTTTAGTCAAAGCTTTTTAGAAATTTGTATTTGTATTCAGTTCAATTTTTGATTGCTGATAATGAAAAGGCTTTTAATGGGCGTACTGCACAATCTTTGGATTTATTTAGATTCCCTTGCATCCATATGCTATAATCTTCACAACCTTGACTATTGTTCGGGCTTGCCTCTGAATGCTCTGCCATTTTTTCTATGTATTTTTCTCTCATTCATTGTCAAAGTGAATTTTCTGGCTTTCAATAAATCTTGTAATATAATTTTTGTGTATTACCTTAGCAGCTTAATTCCTCTAGCACATCTGCAACATATTTTGAGTGTTGTTTTCAAGCTAAGCCTAAATATTTCAAGTTCCAAAATCTTAAGCACTTTGCCGCCTTTCCAGGTAAACCGCTTTTTAATGCGCCCCAACATGTAGACAACACCATTCTGTTCTTTTCCATTCCATTCCATTTTCTTTAGTTGTTGTAAAACTTGTTGAAATTAAATCATTTCCTGTGAAACTCAGCGCAGCTTCAACAAGCGCAACTTTTTGCAGAAAGTTTTGACGCACGCATTTTGCTTCTTTTGCCGCAGCTTTTCTTTTGCTTTTGTCAAAGTATATTTTACAGCACACACACACGCATGCACACCCACATATACACACACGCACACGCACACAGTCACTTTGGCATTAAAAACTAATTTTATTTCTAATTAATTTTGACGTCTCGTCGTTTGTGGTTAAATATTCTGGCACGCGAAAAGTCGCTTTGGCCACCCTCGCTACTCCCCTCTCTCTATCTCACTCTACCTCTCCCATTCTCACGCTCTCTGTGTCTATGCGAGCTCTGAGGCGAAGTCATTAAAAAAGTTACCAAAGACTTTGCCACACACACACACACCCAAACACGCAGACAAACTTTGCTGCATGAAGAGTGAGTATCCCATGTGTCTGTGTGCGTGTGTGTGCATGTATGCTTGTGTGCGTGCGCCTGTGTGTGTATATTTAGTTGTCAGCGTCAGCCACGTCGCACATTTTAAATGCTTCAAATGAAATTAACAAAGAGAAAGCCGTAAAATGTCACCGCAGCAGGTGTACATATGTAGTACACCTACACCCACACACACACACACCTCCTCCCCACACATACACACAGAGCTATGCTGGCGAGCCAAAGCCTCATATTATCCTGCAATGGGCGCTCAAGTTGACAGCTTTTGCAAAAATTTCAAATGAAGGTGACTTTGTGGTATTTTTCCCATTTCATTATGATTTTTCTTCTTTTTTTTAACAACATTTGTAAACTTGGCCACGAAGTGGTGAAAACCAGCAGGAATTAAATATGTGTATGGTTTATTTTGACGAAATAAGAAAAAATCGAATGGAAAGTTCTTTGAGGTTTTACATTTGGGCATTTGCCAAAAAAGTTTTCTTTTTTAGTTATCAAAGTATTTCTTTTATTTAAGCGCTTAAAATTTAAAAGTTTTCGCAGTTTCTTAAAATCTGAACAGTTTGTTGCTTTGATCACTATCTATAGATAATTATATAATGGTTTTCATATATAGATAAATATTCTAAATGCTAGTCTATGTGCATGTATACATATTTATAATTTAGAATTACGGAAAATGTATTATGATATAAAAATAATTATATTTATATATTCTTATAGAGCTGCAACCAGGAGAAGCCCTTATATTGCTAATTACAGTGCCATGTTTTTTTTTCTGGAAGAGCAATCTTTAGCTCGCAGCTAAAGAAAAGAGAGCTCATGAATCAACAGAGGTAAGTGCCAATGAGCCCATTCGCCTCTCTTGCGGTTCAATATATTCTAAAATATATTTATATTTTCAGATTTTATCACTTATCCAGCTCGGAGTGTCCAATGACGTCATCTACCACAATAAAATATTATTTAGCAGAGATATAGACATGTAATGACAAAATGATTCAGTATAGCATTAAGCGTTTATTGTAAATGCTCTATATTTAAGATGTATGTGTAAATAATATAGATTTAATTTTGCATAAATTGTACACATTTGAATATCAATAAATAGTTTGAGTCAATAAATAAATCAACTGTGTTCTCATTTAACAGGGATTCTTTGTTGGCGATTTCTTTTTAAAAGTCAACTGTCAGAAATGGGCACTTTGCAAATTATTGTTGCATAACTTAGGGGGCTGCTGATGTGGCCGTTGAGGCTTAGATTTGAACGGGAGGTTTCAGAAGCACCAGGCGAACAGAAATAAGAAGCAGAGCGGAAATTTTTGTTAACAGTGAATTAAGCCGATTTATGTTAACGTACTGTTGTTAACAGAATTCTGTTAACTCACCGTTGAGGCTCAAAATTGAGCGGGAACTTTTCAGAAGCACCAGGCTCACAGAAATGGGAAGCAGAGTAAAAAATGTTAGTTAACAGTACATTAACAGAATTATGTTAGTTAACAGTATTCTGTTAACCAAACTGTTAATTAACATGATTCTGTAAACTTGCTGTTAGTTAACAGTAACGCTAACAGTGCGCTGTTACTCAACTGTTAATTTACATTTTTCACCCTACAACTCATTTCTGTGCGCCTGGTGCTTCATCAACATATATGTTCAAGTTTCGGAAGTATTAGGCGCACAGAAAGGAGTTGTAGGGTGAAAAATGTTAGTTGGCAGTGCGATCACATACTACTGTTAGTTAACATAACACTGTAAACACACAATAAAACATTGTTAAAATATTTGTCACTCTACTCAACGTTTCTGTTTTCCTGGTACATTGCCATGATTTCCATTTAAATTTTGATCTTAACGGATAATGATGATCATAAATGGGGCTGCAACTCAAATGTACAGCGGCTCCTTACCAGCAGCTGAACCTTACCTGAAAATAACTGTACTAGGCAAGCAATGGCCGATATAGGCAGTTACGACTATTTGGATGTTGTTTTAGCACATTTGCCACATTTTATTTCACACTATTTATTTTTCATAAAATATATATAATATAAACATTATACAGGCTTCATGCCTTAAGCATATTTTGTGTTTATATTTGCTGCTATCGAAGCGATTACATATTTATTTTATGATGTTTATTTAATATTTGTAAATTTAAAATCAAATTTATTATTTGTATTTTTCATTGGTTTTACTTTGGCCTTTGCCTCCGGGCAGCAAACATATACATGCATACTGTGTATGGAACGATATTATAAATTGTGCTTTTTCATTGTTGAGCATTAAGCACAATCTGTTTGTGTGAACTTCCGGACAGACAAACAACTGACGGCAATCAGCAAAATTCCAACAGCAATTAAAAAAACAAAAACTGGAATAAAATAAAAATAAAATTTACATATAGATATACACAGATACATATATATAGCTATGTGTATGCATGTATGTATGTATGTATGTGTGGCTCATCGATTGCAGGCATAACTCACTTTGTGGCACAATTAAGTGTGCCACGCCTACACACATCTGTGGGTATGTGTGTGTGTGGGTCTGTGTGTGGTGCAGCCATTGACCACTGTTGACATTGCTTCATTTGCACTTTGTGTGCGGTGCGTCGGGCTCTTTGTCCTGGCCATCGCTTTGTAATTGTTTCATTTAACAGCTTTTAATTGAATATTTCACGCACGTTTGTTTATGCACTTAAATGAAAAACAGCAACAACGACAACGTTTGCATTGATAAATTGTTTACACGCTTTAAGTAAATAAATGCATTTAAAAATAATACAAGTTAAAAAAAAAAAAAAAAAACAACAACAAGCTGACGCTATCTGCTGCAAGCTGCTGACCATGTGGCACAGCCGCAGCGGCATTAACCGTATTAACACTGCCTCTGATTGCTGCGAATTGCTGCGCGTGGCACACGCAACGTGTTTCAGCTAAAGCTGACGCTTTAAGGCGTATTTTTTATTAGTTTTGATAAAGCCGTAAAATGACAGCAGTTCGCCCTTAGGCAAACACACAAAAAATACGTAAAAAAAAACAAAAAAATACATAAAACATAGAACATAAACAAACAAATAAACAAACTTTTGACACTAAGCGCTTTAAGATCTGACCTCGCCTGGGCTTGTTTTTCCTGGCCCGTGCTGCAGGCATACAAATTGTGCTGAGCCTAGGGCATCAGCGAGGCTAAAAGGCATGAACCGGCCAGCGATACAATCGTTGCATTGGTATGGATTCTGCTAAAGCTACAGTTGCTAAAATATGCATGTGGACAGATGTGAGGCTCCTGTGAACAATAATGTAAAATAAATTCAATTTATTTACAAAATAGTCCCAATATATACCCAGTGATATGTTTGCAGGATATCTTCTAGTCGAACATTTAAGAGTATTAGCCTTTACCTTTCGGTTGTTGTTGCTAGTGTTTGGCTTTAGTTTTTGTAGTCGTATCAAAAATGCCGTTACCGCTAAACCTTTGGGCAAACGCAAATAAAATTCGCACACACATACGCACACACACACATATATATATATATATATATATATATATATATATATATATATATGGGAACAGCAACTGTTTGCCTATCCATGTCAGCTGTTCAGCTGCACGTGTGTCTGTGTATTTACAGTGCTGCGGGGCGTATGAGCTCTGTCCGTTTATTTGCATACATTTCGCTCTACGTACGAGCTCTGTGAAATAAGCCTCAAATATATTACGCATACGCCGCGTTGCAACAGCTCCAGCCAAAACCCAAATGAATCTGCCTGAAACTTGCTCCAAAGGTCAAATATTTAACATACCAAAGAGTTTTTCCGAGCCCACATCAGAATGAATGATATGTCCAATAAAAAATTAAGTATTTTACTATTTTTTCATACAATATGTTTTATAATTTCGCTTGATATTTAAAAAATGTTTGCCTCAGCTATTATTGATGGATGTTCTCGTGCGCATATGAATCATGGATTAAATGAATAACGATACGATATCGATAACGATACCGATGTGTGCGAGCTCATTCTATTTCAATTAGGTCAACTCAACACACGCGGCGTATGCTTAATATACAGCTATTTCGTTGTTCAATACGCGCTTCATTAGCCATTCATAACTTGCGGCAAGTATATCAAGCGGGATTCATCATCGTCAAGGACTGCAGCCACAAAATGCAGCCATAATGTTCGGCTGCGCTTTTTGGCTGACTTCCTTCAGCCTGCTCCGTCGACACGCCCGCCCTGTTTTTCTTGGGCACTTTATCTTGCTTCCTCTTTCACTTCATCTTCATTTTGTTGGCTTGCGCCAAAGCTGAGCAGCGCCAGGCGAAACTTATGCTGCTCTTTTGCCGGCGCTAAGGCATTTTCAGCGTCGCAGTCGCATAAATTAATGAAAATTTATTTATGCCTCAAAAATATGAGCCAAACAACAGCGGAAATTTCCAAGCTGTCTGCCTGTGTGCAGTGTGTGTCTGTGTGTATCTATGTGTGTGTGTGTGTGTGTCGAGGGAATGACGCCTTGTGGCATAAACTGCTTTCCACTGCATTAGGCACACACACAGGCGTTCACGCAAATGCATACATCACTTAAAGATATTGTTGTCGTGTGCAACAAAAGCGCAATGGGCAAATATCATGCAACAAATGATATAGATACATATCTATACATGCAGATACATTCATATGTATATACAGATACAGATACAGATACAGATACAGATACAGATACAGATACAGATACAGATACAGATACAGATACAGATACAGATACAGATACAGATACAGATACAGATACAGATACAGATACAGATACAGATACAGATACAGATACAGATACAGATACAGATACAGATACAGATACAGATACAGATACAGATACAGATACAGATACAGATACAGATACAGATACAGATACAGATACAGATACAGATACAGATACAGATACAGATACAGATACAGATACAGATACAGATACAGATACAGATACAGATACAGATACAGATACAGATACAGATACAGATACAGATACAGATACAGATACAGATACAGATACAGATACAGATACAGATACAGATACAGATACAGATACAGATACAGATACAGATACAGATACAGATACAGATACAGATACAGATACAGATACAGATACAGATACAGATACAGATACAGATACAGATACAGATACAGATACAGATACAGATACAGATACAGATACAGATACAGATACAGATACAGATACAGATACAGATACAGATACAGATACAGATACAGATACAGATACAGATACAGATACAGATACAGATACAGATACAGATACAGATACAGATACAGATACAGATACAGATACAGATACAGATACAGATACAGATACAGATACAGATACAGATACAGATACAGATACAGATACAGATACAGATACAGATACAGATACAGATACAGATACAGATACAGATACAGATACAGATACAGATAGAGATACAGATACAGATACAGATACAGATACAGATACAGATACAGATACAGATAGAGATAGAGATAGAGATACAGATACAGATACAGATACAGATACAGATACAGATACAGATACAGATACAGATACAGATACAGATACAGATACAGATACAGATACAGATACAGATACAGATACAGATACAGATACAGATACAGATACAGATACAGATACAGATACAGATACAGATACAGATACAGATACAGATACAGATACAGATACAGATACAGATACAGATACAGATACAGATACAGATACAGATACAGATACAGATACAGATACAGATACAGATACAGATACAGATACAGATACAGATACAGATACAGATACAGATACAGATACAGATACAGATACAGATACAGATACAGATACAGATACAGATACAGATACAGATACAGATACAGATACAGATACAGATACAGATACAGATACAGATACAGATACAGATACAGATACAGATACAGATACAGATACAGATACAGATACAGATACAGATACAGATACAGATACAGATACAGATACAGATACAGATACAGATACAGATACAGATACAGATACAGATACAGATA